TCAACTGTTCAATATACAGTATAAACCTGGGACTTTGTAAAACCTCTTCCAGTCGAGTAGCTTTACACTAACATGAAGTCCATTTTGTCCCTTGATTAAAAGCTTAACTGAACACTTGGCAGCCCTCCATGGGTGTTGGCAGATTATCAGCTGAGAATGGGAGATTGTGCATTGCTTGAATCCAGTTTCCCAGATGGCATTTCCCTAAAAGCAAAGCTCGAAACAATGTGTATTAATATTTGGAAATATCATTTCAGTATCAAGGAGGGTAGAGAGGGTTAAGACAGAGGAGGAGAGAGATAATATGGGACATTACTCCTCATATTTCTGGATGGCATATTAGTGATAAGTGTGTATCTCTGGTTTTTGAGAGCACTGGATCATGGTGGGGAAGGAAGAAAGACTTATAGAACCAAGTCAAGGAATCCATAGTCAATTTCTACTGAAGAAAACCTGAAAAGCCTGCTTGGAAATGGTCACCACAGCCACGGTTAAGAGGCAAGTTCGAGAGAACTTGAAGTAATACAAATTAGTAAGGTGTTTGTCTTCCTGTATGTTGTCTACACATTCAACTGGCATCTCACCTCTCCAGGGTACTCCAAATAGAAAGGAAACATGGAAGCTAAACCCTTAGCATGCATTGATACAAGTTGCTTCCTGACACTTTGTCTTTTTTCCTAATGTTATCCTTTTCTCTCAGGAAATAGAAATGGGGATTGATCAATTTTTGAGTGAGCAGGGAACATCTGGAACATACACCTGGGAGGAATGAACCACTGCATCTTCTTTGCATTTCTCTTGCGTCTTTTAGGTAACAAAACTTGATTCAGCATCAACACCTCATTGTGACTCTCATTTGAGTCTCTTGTGTTTTACAATCAGAGGGAAATTCCTCTTGGTTTACACAATGCTATGGCTGCCAGGTGTGGTCATGGGTTTGTAGTCTGGACCACATATTTGAGAGGAAAGTGAGATAAGATGGAGCAGTCCTCATTATGACCTCAAATGAGGATCCATGGCCCTTCCTGCCTCAACTTCATAGAGAAGTATTGGTGTTTTTGCTTCTGATGCGCACACATCTGGCTGGTAGACTCCTCACCATTCACAAGGAGGTAGTAAGCCTCCTCTTTGTTCAGCTGGCTCTTAAAGCAGGTTCCAAATTTACCCAACAGCTCAGAATAGCTACTTTCCTGGTAATTGTCTGGGATAAAAGCCTCCATCCAGATCATGAACACTCAGAGAGAGAAGAGCACTGTGATGCTCAGAGAGCATAATACTCAAGATTCTGTAAGCCCTGACACCATGTTTTGGACTGACTTGCCAAGAAATGTGTAGCTGGGCCCCTTCATTTTGGCCCTTCAGTTAAGAGCTTCCTTGGAATTGTTCAATGGAATGAGACCATCAGCCTGCAGAGAGGGGGAGAGCATTGTTGTTTGCTAAAGGCTGTTGTGGAAGCTATTATTTGTTAAGGGAGTTTCTGACAAAAATCTTTTTATCTTGGCTGTATAACAGGAATACTTTTATTGCTTTTATTTATGCTGAGCAACTGACTTAATTTCCTCCTTTGGACATTGTTTGACTAATTGACCACGTTCTCCTTTTTTTGGATGGAAACAATAAGTTTTTGGCACTACTTTGGTCAAGGTGTATAGCAGGTCTTTTGGGATGGCCACCTATGCAAAGATCATAAAATTTAGAAATGCATAAGTAAGAATTGCTTCTTGTTTCCCATGATGAAGGATGACTTAGATAGTTTTTAATGGATTATGTACTTATTTGTTGTCTCGATTTATGCATCTCCACTTCTCTTGATAGCATTCCAACTATCTGTATATGTGCATAGTTTAAATCTGGAATATTCTCCATGCGCTCTTATTTTGAGTGCCGGTCCTCAGCTTGTGGAGCTATTTTGAAGATCGGGGAACCTTCAGAATGGTGGTTCTCAACCTTCCTAATGCTCTTTAACACAGTTGTTCATGTTGTGGTGACCCCAACCAAAAAGTTTTTTGTTGCTACTTCATAAGTGTAATTTTTCTGGTTATGAATTGTAATGTAAATATCTAATATGCAGGATATCTGATATACGACCTCAAAGGGATTGTAACCCATAGGTTGAGAACTACTGATTTAGAAGTTTCATTCGAGAGACAAATGAAGAAAGATATGCCATTTCTGTCTGTCTCTCTTCACAGCTAAAGCAGACAGGGGAGGCTATTCTTCAGTGTTAACATTGGCCCCACAGCTAGGATAGCTTTCTGAGTAGTACGATGGGAATGTCTGGTCTCAATATACCCAAACTAGCTTAGCCTCCAGTTCAAGAGTACTGTGAAGATGTCAGGGAAGACACAAAGATATTAATGTAAGCATGTGTGTGCATCAAAAGATGGACACCCCTTGCTGTTAAAGTAAGAAGAGAAAAGGTCCCTGAATATATGGTTTGATGTCAAGTACATAGAAAATTACATATAAGTGTGTTTGAGAGGAGAAGGATCTGGAATGA